CCAAAATGGCTTGTCGTGATTCTGAAAAAAAACTAACACTGATAGCACAAATGCTTAAAAACAACTGACTGGTTGTATAGACTTTTAATGCAACGCCATCTAGCGCTTTTTAAAACTTGCAATATTTCAAAATATCATAGTCAAAAAAATTGGATGAATCAAACTGAATAACCGAATAAGTGTGAAAAGACAAAAAAGAACAAATAAGTAGAAACTAAAACCGTTTACCCCAGAATTTTATGATTAAGTAAAACTCAAAAGTATCTGCAACTTTGGTATTAACTTTGTGCTCATTTGATTCATTTAAATCTCTACTGTCTCTACTGTCACAAACCAAAACCTATAATCTACATTTGAACAAAACCATCTGTAATTAAACTCACAGACTGATATCGTGCCCTTAAGCAACAACTCTGATGTATGTCCTACTCAAGATGGAAATAAAATCAATTGTACACGTCACCAACGTCATCTTATTACTTACTTACTTATCTACGCCTGTTACTCCCAATGGAGCATAGGCCGCTGACCAGCAATTCTCCAACCCACTCTGTCCTGGGCCTTCTTTTCTAGCTCTATCAAATTCTTGTTCATTTTTCTCATGTCTATCTCCATTTCTCGATGTAATGTGCTCTTTGGTCTTCCTCTTTTCCTTTAACAATGAAGATTCCATGTGAGGGCTTGTCTTGTGATGCAGTTCGGTGCTTTCCTCAATGTGTGTCCTATCCACTTCCAGCGCTTCTCCCTGATTTCTTCCTCCGCTGAGATCTGGTTTGTTCTCTCCCACAGTAAGTTGTTGCTAATAGTGTCCGGCCAATGGATCTGAAGTATTTTGCGTAGACAATTGTTAATAAACACCTGTATTTTCTGGATGATGGTTTTTGTAGTTCTCCAGGTTTCTGCTCCATACAATAGAACTGTCTTGACATTTGTATTGAAAATCCTGACCTTGGTGTTGGTTGACAGTTGCTTTGAGCTCCAGATGTTCTTCAGTTGTAAATATGCTGCTCTTGCTTTGCCGATCCGCGCCTTCACATCTGCATCAGATCCACCCTGTTCATCAATGACGCTGCCCAAATACGTAAAGGTTTTTACATCTCCCAAATCTTCTCCGTCAATTGTGATTGGATTGGTGCATTCTGTGTTGTATCGGAGAATCCTGCTTTTCCCTTTGTGTATGTTGAGACCTACTGCTGCTGAGGCTGCTGCCACACTGTTCGTCTTCTCCTGCATCTGTTGTTGCGTTTGGGATAGAAGGGCCAGATCGTCTGCAAAGTCTAGATCATCCAACTGCATCTTAGATGTCCATTGTATCCCGCGCTTCCCTTCAGACGTTGACGTCTTCATGATCCAGTCGATCACCAGGAGAAAGAGAAAGGGTGAGAGTAAGCAACCTTGCCTAACACCGGTCTTCACTTCGAACGATTTTGTCAACTGTCCGCCATGCACAATTTTGCAGTTTAATCCATCATATGAGTTTTGTATGATATTAACTGTCTTCTGAGGCACGCCGTAGTGTCGAAGAAGTTTCCATAGTGTTGTTCTGTCCACGCTGTCAAATGATTTGTCGTAGTCAATGAAGTTGATGTAGAGTGATGAATTCCATTCAATTGATTGTTCCACAATGATCCGTAGAGTTGCGATTTGGTCTGTATACGATCTGTCCTCACGGAATTCTGCCTGTTGGTCACGAAGTTGGGCGTCTACGCAGTCCTTCATCCTGTTTAACAATACCCTGTTGAAGACTTTTCCCGGTATTGAGAGAAGAGTGATGCCCCTGTAGTTATCACAGTTGCTCAGATCGCCTTTCTTTGGTATTTTCATCAGAAGTCCTTCTTTCCAGTCTGTTGGTACTTGTTCCTCATCTCAAATCTTATTGAAGAGAATGTGGAGTATCCTTGCAGCTGCAGCTACGTCTGCCTTTAGTGCCTCTGCTGGGATGTTGTCCGGTCCTGCTGCTTTGCCACTCTTGATTTGTCTGATGGCCATGCTGATTTCTTCAATTGTTGGTGGGCCAACATTGATTTGGAGGTCCCTGGGTGCTGTTTCGATGTTGGGTGGGTTCAGTGGAGCTGGTCGATTCAAGAGTTCTTTGAAGTGTTCTACCCACCTGTCTTGTTGCTCTTCAAAGTTGGTGATTACCTCGCCTTCCTTGCTTTTCACTGGTCGTTCTGGTTTGCGGCGATTTCCAGAGAGTTTCTTTGTCGCGTCATACAATTGTCTCATGTTTCCTTCTCTTGCAGCATTTTCCGCCGCCGTTGCTAAATCTTCCAAATATTTACGTTTGTCGGTTCTGATGCACCTCTTCACTTGTTTGTTTATTTCCGTGTATTCAGCTTGTGCCTTGGCTTTTTCTGCTCTTGTTCGGCTGGTATTGATCGCTGCCTTCTTGTTTCTTCTTTTTTGAATCTTATCTCATAGAAAGACTAATAAACCTCAAGTCATTATTCACCACCATTATGATTCAGTGGTATCCTTCTAATATTGTAGCCACAGACAAATGAAAACGTTGTTCAAAACACCTGTCGAAACTTTTTTATGACCAATATATCTAGCCTAATACTCTTCTAAGCATCTGAATAACTGAATATTTATAGTCTGAACAAACCGGATTCCACGGTTTCTTGTGGAATACCTTGGACTATATAAGATCAAACGTGATCATATTGCGGTTTGCTAGACAGAATTCGGTCAGAATACTCTCCAGCTTTACATATTTACACGTTATGGTTATTTAATTTTCACAGTTCAGTATGTCAACTCCACACCACTTAAAAAACAACGGCATTTTAATATGCGAGTAAACCTTTCGGTTTTCATCTTCTTAACACACCAAGTTTTAAGTTTTTTTGGTTTGGTTGAATCCTATTCGAGTCGATTCGTAGAGGAGAACATAAAAGGAAGTCAGAACAAAAAATCTGGAAACTCCGTCAAAAAATATTTTTAGGTGAATTTGGAATTTAACAGGAACTAAATTTTTAATGTACGTCTTATTCTTATCGTTACAATGACCTTGAACTATTACTACTTTATTTGGCACTAGAAAATATCCCCCCACTCTTTATATACTTTTCACGAATCCATGAGTTTATTCATGATAATTTCTGAGATCACTTCATTTCAGTTAAACCCGCCATTGCCAATAATTGTTACAAGAAAAACATTTTAATGATTTTATTTCATCCTTATTATCGATTATCAATTTTAAAGGGCATTCTTTGTGGGTTTAGTCATTTTTGCTGACTTGCAAATGTAGTCCTGTACACGTAAAAGGCTACTACAAGTTGTACTCTTCTCAATATTATCTCAGATTTCCTGGTGTTCTCACCATATTTCCAATAAATTGCCTAGACTACTTAAGTTAGGAAGAGCCTTAACTACAAATTATGTGACATTCCAATAACCTTGAGCTCCAAGTTGATTTACATCCATTAGTTAAATGGACTTGCAGATGAGAAAGCTATTTACGAAGTCTGGTACCACTCCACCTACTAGACACGAATCACAATGTGAATTTGATGAATTTATTCAAGATTATAAGTAAACAGTACAATTTAATTGTTACCAAAATTTGCAATCAAAAGTCATAAAGCTGACTTTTATATTCATAAAAAGTCAGCAGTTAACCTTCAACTGCCTTAATAAAATTGTAACTTTTTTACAATTGAGCGTAACCATAATTTAATGAGCTGATCTTCATACGTTCATATTTCCGCTCCAAGCGTTCAAGACTTTTGTTACGTCATCCATAAATTTATCTCAACATCTCAGACATTTCACTGGCCTTACAATCTCAAGTAATTATAAAAAATCCTTTTTAAAGTAACTGAATTTTTGAATTTTTTATACTGCACACAGTTTCTTCGTGGGCAGTTTAATGCTAACATTGGGCTATCAGCTAGAAATAATTAAATATATTGGCTTGCATGAAGCTAAAACAGGAAAAAATACGACAGACTCATAGTGTTCTGAAGATATTGTCTTTCTTGCTTTGGAAAAATTTGTGAAGAGAACCAAGTGAATGAATTTAGTGTCATAATGTCTTATATTTTGTATTTCATATAATTAATGATATTCAGAGCCGTCAAAAAGTAGTCGAAAGAGGCTAATAAATAAACTGACGATGAGAATTCATTTTTCATACAGAATGGTCAACAGGCAATTTACATCAGCCTTAACAATAAACAATAAACTAAACCTACACAGAAATACTTCAGTCATTAACACAGGTCAACTGAACTGCTGTTGTTATCACTAAAGAATGAAGATAGTGTTTTTGACATTAAATAACGATTACATCTAAGATTATTGTCTTGGGGATGCATAAGAGTACATTAAAAATTAGCAAATCTGACATAAATAGCTTCAAATGGAGATTTAACGTTCTTTAATTTTATGATGTAAGACACAGTGACTTTTGACCTCAAAAAACTGGTTTCGACAGAGTTTAAAGATCAAGACCATGTCCGAAAAATTGTGTAAAACAGTCATCCTTACGACCTAAATGAAACGAGAACACTCATGCTTGATATTCTCATGTCAACTATAAAAAATAATGATAAAAACCATTATTTATGACCGATAAATGTGTCAATGTCATCATTTCAGGTGAAAAATAGTCGCAAAGTTATCTTATATATAAGGTTACACTAACTAATAAACTAAAACATTTACCACCAGGCAAACACCTAGCCCAAATATCGTAACAATTGCCGATTAATCACAGGTGGGTTCAATCACTAAGTCGGTAGTTGGCAAAACCTAAAGCCAAAATCTCTAATATGTTAAACTGAATTTTTCTTTATTATTCCAGTTATCCTTTCAATGTGATATTTACCATAAGGTATTAAAATCTGGATCTGACTAGACAAAACTCGTTAAAATGATAAAATACATTATGGTTCAGCAAATGCTTTGATAACACGCGATTAAATACAGATCTTTGGTTACTATTCAGTATGAATTTATTAAAACTTAACATGGAAAGAAACGAAACTAACCTGGGATTTGAGTTAAAATATAGCCCCAGAAAAATGCTCCCAATATCAAACCTTGGGTCAGCCTATCCCAATTAAACTCCCCCGTGTTAGTCTAGATAGAAGTTTTATTCGAACTAGTAAGTTATACCTCAGTTTTCTCAAGATACGTGTGATTAGAAAAATTAGAACAATAAAATGACGAATGATTTGTGGATGTCTTGTCAACCGTATCATTGACCATGGCAAGTATTGTAACGTTTAAATCAACTCTCATCATGTAAATCAGAATTAGATTGATGAATCCCATTGTAGCGATAATGTAACGACATTTACAACAGAATACCCCTGTCGAACAACACATTTCTTTACTAAATGAATAAGTACAATAACTTGGTTAGTTGAAACAATCTCCAAGGTCGTCCAGTATCCGATACCTTAAGAACAACTAGAGCGAAAAAACCACCTTGTTTGCTTTTTTTACTCAGTGTTTATCAAACTTTTTGATGTTTTGTTGTACTCAGTTTATTTGATCAATCTAGTTTATCATATTTACATAGTGAATTCGTGGCGCTATTAAGATATATCCAAGATCTTTGTGAAATACTTATTCACATCTCTTTGATAGCTTTCATTGTCCTCTTAGTTTCGTATAGGGGACAGCTTAGTGCTTTTTAGGGAGTCAAATGAACTTGTTAAGTCATTTAGTCTTGGGTATATTTCCAAGACGTAAAAGAAGGGTTAATAACAAATTAAGTGGGGCCGGGTAATTGACGACATCAGCCGAACGTTTTCAACAACTGTGTTGTGTTTCGTCTTCTGCTTTTCACTTGTTGACTGGGGCAAATATTTTTGTAAGGTTTCATCGGTTCCCCTAAATTGCTTAAAAAGCGGTATGCTGCGATCATAAAAATATGACAAATCAGATTGAAAAATCTTTGAATTGTACAGTTTCAACTCACAAATGCGCGAATCGGGTGATCACAGTAAAAGCGCAACTGGTATTCTGAGTCTGACAATGCCTGTACACGTAATACTTTAAAGGTGAGACAAGTATTTGGAGTTTAACAATGCCCTAACCAGTAACACTTTTCTATGATCGAAACGTGCCAATCCAAGTAAAATCAAAAGTCAGAGATCAAGAGGTTCAAAGATATATTTGATAGAGTATCGATATATCGAGAAGTGACTAATCTGATCTAACTGGCGGTTATAGAAGTGAAGCCTGGCGTAGTCACTCATGATCTGGTGCGGATGCATGACCAATCGCCTTCGGCTGGGTGAGTACATTAAAACTAATGCAATCACCATCAAATGTCGAAGACTTACAGAGCTATTGACTTTGGGAATTTATTTACCGCTTCAACCTTCATAATCGAAGTACACCAACCCACTGAAGTCAAAAATCATAGATGAAGTGGTTCGAATATATATTTTGAATGTTATCGATATGTTGAAAAGCGTCTGATCTGAGATGGCTGTCAGAAGCAAGGTATGAGTAGCACAGCTTACCCACTCGGTGCAGATGCGTAACTGATCGACTTCACGTATGTGTGTTCAGTAAATACAGTGAGGTCATCATCAAAGTCGTGGACTTAAAGAACTATTTATTACGAGATTTATTCACCACCACCATTTGTATACAAGGACACTAGAAACTCACCAGTAATGAATTTCAACTTCGGTGTATTTTTTATTTATTATCGCAATTGAGAACAAGAATGTTATTTTTGCAAAATTCTTTGATAGAAACGTTGATTGTTTGATCTGAAATATTCCATGATCCATAGTTAACAGAAATTTAGTATGATATTTGAGTGATACAAGGTCTTGGTCCTACTAGGTGAAGAGAGGATAGGTTATGCTCTGAAGCGAACTAAAAGTAAAAAACAAATTCACCTTAGTACTCTACTGTCATTGAGCGTAGGGGTCCAACCAAGACCCGACCAAATCGCGCTTGAAGATGCCACAGGTATTCGGAGTTTGACAACGCTTTAACCAGTAACACATAATATGAAGCATTCCCACCAAGTGAAATCAAAAGAGAGGAGCGAGAAGGTTCGAAGATAAATTTGATAGGCTATCAATATATCGAGGACCGTCTGATCTAATCTGGCTAGCGACTGCAGAGGTTGTTGAGCACGGCGTTCCCACTCGTGATCTGGTGCGGATGCATTACCGAGCGCCTTCAGCTAGGTGAGTCCATTAACCTAATGTGGTCAGTATCCAATGTCGAAAACTTGCAGAGCCATTTATTTTGGGGATTTATTTACCTCTACACGCTCCTATAAAGCGTCCCGGGCTTCTTTTACGACCTTCCAGACCATTCTGGACTATGTCAATGCTAAAACATTTCTACTTTGTATGCAGTATTCGTGCCTCCTAAACTCGAGTGCTGAGTAGAAACCAGCCCTGACGAAGAAGAGACAGAGAAATGTTGGAAAAGTTTCAAAGTACCGCGACTAAATTGATTTATGGGATGATGAAGCTCCCGTATGATGCCTGACTGCTAAACGAAACTATTTCGGCTTTCATATAGCAGGATCAGAAGCGACTCGATCGCAGTTTTCAAATTACTTAGTGTTAAATTTTCATTTGATATGCCTTAATTTTTCTTGTCTACCAGAACAGAAAATTTATGAGGAAAGTGTTAAAAGGTTCACAAGCCCAGGACAAGTTACTTGTCGTTTGACTACTGACTTTCCTATTGAACTATGAACCTGAAATATTCTAATTGGCTTACAATTTTAAATAAATGATCCGCACTAAGTAATAAGAATAGTAGCCAACTTCATTGGATTATGATAATGTAAGATCATTGATTGACCTGTAGCGTGGCGTCGAGTCGAGGTTAACTATGAACACCGCTACCAAGAAACACGTGCCAAATGAATCAGAAGGCGAAGGTCGAACGTAACCAAATAAATCCATAAAATCCCCGAGAAGCCAAATATCAGAAGACAGTTAATGGACCAAATCGAGATATATTCGCTGGCGTTCTCGTGGCATCGAAAGGATACCGAGATCGTGCCAGGATAGAAGCCTGGTTACAGAACGTAACTGAATTCGCGCGAAGTTACAGTCAAAGTGTAAGTATAAGAATGGAAGCACAATATAGCTGTCATTAGCACAGTCAAACAAAAGCACATTAAAACAAGCACTGGTACAGTTGGTCATAATAATAATTGCTTTTATTAAACCAGTCGTGTTCTCGTGATAAATGTGAGTCACTACAGACCTATGAACTCGAGATATTGAATGTCTTACGTAGAGTGGCAGGTTTGAGGCTTTGTTTGTACGGTTGCTACTAAGTGCAACAATTCAATCATCTCAATATGGGTGATAGTCTGTGTAATATTGCTCGATATATTACATTACTAACGGATGAAGACAGGTTTGTTCGAAAAAAAGCATTAAAGTCTGTGGAAGACTACTTGAATACTAACAGCGATAAAGAAAGTACCATTTTTAGTTCAGTAGCAGAAAATCTGGCAAAGACTTTGAATGATCTTGTTGAGGTCAATCGCGAACTTGCAGTGAAAGTTTTAAAGCTGTCCATAGATGTAACTAATGATGTGACACCTTTGCTTGCATTAATAGTGCCTGTGCTGGTTATGCGTTTAGGACAGAAAGAAATAATAGAACATTCCGAAGAGATTCGCTACTCCACACTTAATCTCTTATATATTTTGCTAAAGAGAACTGATGAGATATCTCCATTTGTCGATGATTACATCTCAGTAATTCAAAAGACACTTGTCGATCCATATCATGAAATTAAAAAATTGTCTTGTAAAATTGCAGTGGTTTTATCGCAGAGAAAATGCCATCGATTTTATCAAATTTCGGAGTCTATTTTAGTGCCTATGTTGTCAAATCTTACACATCAACATTCGAAAGTTAGATTAGAAACTGTGGTCGCTCTTGAAAAGGTTTTGCTGCACAGCCAGGGAAAGCTTGTTGAAAATGTTATCGCACCATTAACTCAAAGACTTTTTGATTCGTCATCAGCAGTTAGACGAGCTGTTATTGAACTTGTGGGCTCATGGTTGTTGGATTTACCTGATCGGTATTCATATCAAACAAAGTTATTGCCTCTACTTCTTTCCGGTTTCATTGACGAATCAGATGAAATCCGTATGGTTGCTACAAAATTGTGGCATCATATAGGTAAGTTAGGAAGGTTGATTAAACTTTGTAAGCTTTCAGGACTAAAGTTTGAAAAAGAGAACGAAGAGCAGCTGAAAGATAAACTGGATTTCGATCACGGTCCTCCATTTCACTATCCATGTGGGTGCAAACGACCAATACTGGGTAAGTTTTACAAGGAAGTAGTATCCTTACAAAGGTGCTTGAATAATCCAAAGCTTAAACTGCATCAGTAATTTGCTGTTGTCACATTAAGTTAAGAGTCATGATGTTACCTGTTAAAACAATTTAATTTTGTACTTAATATGAATTGGAACTGATGAACTAAATTTAGCGATACGATTCATTCTTTTCGATATCAACGCAGTTTTCCATAAGTCCATGTTTTTGTTTCAGTAAAGCGGAAAGTGTCCTATTAAGTTTGCTCCTTTATTGACAACCTTAGTACTGAATCGAATACAGTAAATTCCATATTACGTTTGACTAATTCCACAAATCATATTTATGTAAACGCTGATGCGGGCGTTTTCTCACTGTTTTATAATCATTCCCTAAAAAAAACACCGAGCCAAAATTTGTGGTTAGGCGAAAATGACAGGATTTACTTTTCATATTAAACCAATCGGGTAGTTGGTTGACACAAGGATTACTCATTCATATCAAGGGTCAACGTCATATAATGTAAGGCGTATCTATTCAGGCCAGGGGTGTATTTCAAAACCTTTCTCTTGAAAATGCTGATTGTCATGTGAGTACTTAGACGTTTCGGGAGCCACCAAATTTATATTAGGGAGTCACTTTTCGTTGGTAAGTAGTTGACTATTTCCTATCTTTAACGGTCATTTTATTGAAGATATCAACAACACTAATAGTACACTTACTGTAGTTTTTTCTTCCACACGTTGAGCAAAGCTACTTTATTTTCGTAATAATATGCTACCATAAATGTTTATTGAAAGAGTATGCTTTTCTACAGGTTGTCGAGAGCTCGTTTACAGATCGGCATCCAAACTATTTCCAGGTTTATGTAAAGATCTTTCAGACTGGCAAGAAGCAACACGTTTAAAAGCAGCCAGTTTAATACCCATATTAATATTACATCTTGAAGAATCTGCTACTCAACATACTCAACATCTTTTAACGGGTATTGCAAATGGTCTAGCTGATGCACTTAGTCGAATATCACCTGTTGGAAATATGTCTTTACTAAATATG